ACTTGCCCACCCAAGTATTGAGAGAGTTCGGATGTAAACTTTGGATCACTGTAAAAGACCATAGTTGATGTAGATTCGCTTGAAGGTCTGTCTAACTCGTGGATTCGCTTGAAGGTATCTGCTCACGCTTCAAGAGGTAATTCTTAAATTAAATTTCAATACGTTTATGTGTTGTAGCATATTATATGTGTTCTAGCATAAACGATTTGGTTATCTATTATTCATGTTAGCAGTAAGATTATGGTATGCTTTCGCTGTGCATATAGTTTTTCCAACACTTTATACATCAAGTAAAAACATAAGTTTAAGTTGAACTTATTAAATCCGTTCTAACTCTGTTTCTACAATCTCAATTTAGAGTAGAAATAAACGTTGTTCACATCAACTTTCATAACATTAATTATGTTATATTATATATTCTTTTATAACCATATTAAACAAATATCGGGATTTAACTATAATATCTTTTGATGATGATAAGGATATGATACAATGGGCAAGATCCGTTATTTAAGGACTGAACTTTGTAAATTCCTATGATTACTCTTGCATATGATGTGTAGTTAGTGATTTTCCACTCCTTAATTCTGTTAAAAAATAGGTATTCCCATAGCTGCTTTTCTTATTTAAATTAGTGGAGGACTGGACCCTCTCTGATTCTTTTCATTTTTTAATATTTCTTTCTGATGTCATGTGTCACTATTTTTTTAAATATTGGTGGCCTTTCTTTACTGAAAAGGCACAATTACTCAATTTTTATTTGGAAAGTGATTGATGAATTTGGCTGCTTCTGGAACTTATACAGTCTGTTTATATTTACTGATGAAATTGAACAAAGAAGTCTATTCTTCAAAGTTGAGTGAAGAGTTTAATTTTTATACTAAAGTTGGAGATGAGAATATTACTAATGTCTTGGTTCCGTCTCTCCTTTGTATTAAGCACATTAGTTATTTAATTGCATAGTTTTCTCTTCGAATTTAATTTTTGTCATTCAAATGTGCTGATTTTTATTTTTTGCCATAAAAAAATTAACTTATATCTAATAGGAGATAAGTGATTTCAGAAAGCTGAATATAACTTGTGAGATATTATGATGCGAAAATATAAATTTTTATGTCTCTTGAAAGAGCTATTTATCGCGAGGGACAAAAATTAAAGACCATTACTAAGAAGGGGTACAAGTGTCAATGATCCCATCTTAGTATTTTGGACATACCTGCATATGTTGAAGTCCAATATCAAGAGTTTAGCTATTCCTGGGGTCCAATATACTCAAGCCCAGACCAAGAACAAAGAGGGTGACTTATAAGTAATAAGATTTTAAAATGTGGGGGTAGTCTTGAAATTGGATCCCCTTGTTCATGTGCTAACTTTCAAGTTTAACATGGACTATTTTTTTATTTTTTATTTTTTAATTTTGACCTTGAAGGTTCAACAATGAAGTATGCGGGAGTGAAAAGTTCAAGATCATCAAGTCCTGGAACAAAGATTACTGTGAGAAGACTTCATGATATTTTCTTGACAAATGTAACATCTTCTTTGTAAATGTTGTCATTGTTATATTCCATATAGACACAATCAAACATCTCTATAACAATGTTGTTTGTTTCATACCTTTTGATTGTTATAGCAATGTTATTAAAGATGATAGTTGTTCTAAAAATGTCTTACTGTATAGAATATTCGATAGCAAGAAAACTCATTTCATTTGCATCTTACGATTCATCCAATTATAAGAAAATTCTCACACTCTCTATTTTAAGCTAGGGCTTCGTCCAATATGTCTTGAATTTTTCTTCAATTATCTGTATATAACCATATATAAAAATAAATTTGTTCCGCAGATTTTTACAAACTTATTTTTAGCTTTATATTCTCGTAACAAAATATGAGATCATAAAGCAGAGGAAAATGTAATAAAAAGATTCAGTTTCAAGAAGAATGAAAACGAATTCTCACGGGAGCAAGAGTAGCAATTTGAGCGTTTCTTCTTCAAATAGCCATTTCTTTCAAGATTATTTGGCAAATTTCTTCAACATTCATTTTTTGCGAACATGAAGAATGCAACCGATACTTGCGTTCCCCACGACGTTCTTCTACTCCTATTTTCGAAATTACCGGTGAAAGATTTACTTCTACTGAAACTATTGAATAAACGTTGGCGTACTGAGTTTTCAACCCCGTATTTCATTTTTCTTCATCTCAACACGTTTAGTTCAAACCCTCACATCAGTGCAAGAAGTTGTAGCTTCTTGATGAAGTTCACCGAACCGCTAAACAATGTTCTTGACTCGTCGGATTTTAGGGTGGTAGGTTCAATACATGGGTTGGTCAACCTCGCTACTACATGTTCCCATAAATTGAACTGTATATGGAATCCATCATTAGATGAATACATGCTTCTCCCTACGCATAATGTGAACTATGAAAAGACGAAATCTTATGTGAACATCAGAATGGGTTTCGTATATAACCAGACTTCTAAGTCTTACAAAGTAATCAGAATTCTTAGATATTTGAATTCTATGCGAGTTCGAGTGACTATAACAGAGGTTTATTCCGTTGAGTCAGAATCTCGGAAGGATGAGGAAATAAGTGTACGGACTTAGAGTCTCAATAATTTTTCGTGCGGCACTCGACAACTTACTCATGATTCTTTCACAGTCTTGTAAGCTCAAGCAAGCCCTTTGAAGTTAGATCGCTAAGAGAATGCAAATAAATGTTTCGTGCGGCACTTGACAACTTACTCATGATTCTTTCATGGTCTTGTAAGCTCAAGCAAGCCCTTTGAAGCTAGATCGGTAAGAGAATGCAAATAAAGACTTCAAAAGATTTAGAGAGAGAACTTTGGAAGAAGACTTTTGTATTACTTGAGGAAGATTGCTTACAACTTGTTAGATGCCTTGCAAATGCCCCATCTATTTATATTACAACCTAGGGGCTAAAATGTAAATAAAAATTACTTTACAAGTCCCTAAAATATTTATATTTTGGTCCACATTCTAGAATTCTCTACACTTTCTAGGGAATTCTATATCCTTCTTGAAATATCTAGAGGATTTTATAACCTTCTTGAAATATCTAGGGGATTCTAGAGTTCTCCATAAGTTTATCCTCAACTCTAGATTATTCTCCCTTATTTCGGTGCCGAATTTGAACTGTGAAGTGGCGGGACATAACACTCTCCCCCCACCTGTTGATGCGACGACCGCGGCGCACTGCTGTAAAAATTCCTGGATTTGGTCCTTAAATTGCCACAAGTCTTCATATCTCTCCCATGTGGCCTCCTCCGGAGTTTGTCCCTTCCAATGAACAAAGAACATGGAGTTGACTTGCTGCCTCGCTTCTGTTTGGCTTGATAGCCTCAATCTCTCGATCATGCGAGGCAGTGACAGTTATGGGTGCCCGTCATGATTTGTTCCGGGTTGGGGATCATCCTTATTCTCATGGTATGGCTTGAGGACGCTTGTGTGAAAGACCAGATGAATTTTGAAGTGTGGAGGCAACTCCACTTTGTATGAGATCTTGCTTACCTTGGCAATGATCTTAAACAAGCCCTTATATTTTTGCACTAAGTTCTGATGGTCTCTCCTTAGTGTTTTAAATTGTCTCAGGTTTCATATCACCAAGACCATGTCGCCTACTTGGTAATCCGTGGGATGTCGCTTGCGGTCCGCACGCTTCTTCATCTTCTTTGTTGCCTTGTCCAAGTAGGACTTGGCAGTGTCGAGTTGTTCCTCCCATCCCTTGGCAAGATGGTAGGCTCTCAAATTCTTCCCCTGGAAAGCGGTCGGTAGAGAATGCAGAGTTTGGGGTTGTTGGCCAGTTGCCAACTCGAACGGTGTGCGCCCGGTGAATTCGCTCTGTTGCAAATTATAAGAGAACTGTGTCATGTCCAAGAGCTTTACCTAATATTTTTGGTGCGCACTGACATAGTGCCTCAGATAGCACTCCAGTAGGGCATTGACACACTCTGTTTGACCGTCAATCTGTGGGGGGAGATAAGTGATTTCTAATGGGCTGATCTTTAATTTTTGCCCTAAGAAATTTAATTCATATCTAATAGGAGATAAGTGATTTCAGAATGCGGAATATAACTTGTGAGATATTATGATGCGAAAATATAGATTTTTATGTCTCTTGAAAGAACTATTTATCCCGAGGGACAAAATTTAAAGACCATTACTAAGAAGGGGTAAAAGTGTCAATGATCCCATCTTAGTATTTTGGACAATATATCTGCATATGTTGAAGTCCAATATCAAGAGTTTATCTATTTCCGGGGTCCAATATACCTCAAGCCCAGACCAATAACAAAGAGGGTGACTTATAAGTTATAAGTAAGACTTTAAATTGTGGGGGTAGTCTTGAACTTTGATCACCTTGTTCATGTGCAAAATTTCAAGTTTAACATGGACAATTTTATTTAATTTTGACCTTGAAGGTTTTTTTTCGGGAGTGAAAAGTTCAAGACCATCAAGTCCTGGAACAAAGATTACTGTGTGAAGACTTCATGATATTTTCTTGACAAATGTAACATTTTCTTTGTAAATGTCGGCATTGTTATATTCCATATAGACACAATCAAACATCTCTATAACAATGTTGTTTGATTCATATCTTTTGACTGTTATAGCAATGTTATTAAAGATGATAGTTGTTATAAAAATGTCTTATTGTATAGAGTATTCGATAGCAAGAAAACTCATTTCATTTGCATGTTACGATTCATCCAATAAGAAAATTCTCACTCTCTCTATTTTAAGCTAGGGCTTCATCTAATCTGTCTTGAATTTTTCTTCAATTATCTGTATATAACCATATATAAAAATAAATTTGTTCCGCGCACTTTTACAATCTTATTTTTAGCTTTATATTCTCGTAACAAAATATGAGATCATAAAGCAGAGGAAAATGTAATAATAAGGGGAAAAAAAGATAAAAGGATAACTGACTTCATCATCATATTTTTTTTACTTGAATTCAATTGAGATCTATTAGACCTGTACAATATACAATACTCTAATCAATCAAAAACAAGAAAATTCAAGGTATCTCCAGTTACCCCTTTCTCCTCCTTCCCAAAACAAAACAAAAACAAAACAAAATATAAATACAAACAAGAAAGAAATGAAAATTTTCATTATAATAACAAACAAAAAAGATGATCAAATTCTTTCTTGATTTTCAACTTGTTGCTCACCATCTTGCCATGTCCAAACAATATCTTTAAGTGAAGTTTTCAATCCCTGATCAAAGAATTTCTTGTATTCCATTGTATCCCCTGATTTTTTACTCACTTCCACAACATGAAAAGAAGGCGTAATTTCGAATATCTCTGCATCAATTGCTAGTTGCCCTTTTCTTCCTTCTTTAATACTCTGCATTGTTACTGTCCCATCTTTTTTCATTATATTAAAACTCTCATTTGATGCTACTTCTTCCAATTTTGATACTATTATAGAAGCTGGTTTTTTCGCTGTGAATCGCGCTTCTGATCTTCTCTCTTTCTCCTTTTCGAATAATCCAGAAAGATCGAAACCAGGGGAAAGAGAAATGATATCAAATGCATTTAAGCAAGTAGGCTTCATTGTTGTGGAATCTTGATTTTTTTGGGGATTGGAAGGTCCCTCTCCATCTGAATTATTGTCCTCAATATCGAAAACACTACGAGGGGATTCACGTTGATCTTTCCCTGGATTTGGGGTTTTATCAATTTGTTTGAATCCTTTTTTGAACCAAGAATTATCCATGAGCTTAATTAAGGTGATTCTTGATCCTGGATTTGGATCAAGAATCCTTGAGAGTAGCTTTCTTACCTCTGGATGGAACCATTGTGGACATTTGAATTCTGCTTTGCTTATTTTTTTGTACATTTCCATAAGATTTTGGTCATGGAATGGCAAATAACCTGCTAACAGGACAAATAAAACAACACCACATGACCAAATATCAGCCTTTTCACCATCATAACCTCTCTTGTTGATCACCTCTGGTGCAACATAAGCCGGTGTTCCACACGTTGTGTGGAGGAGACCATCTTGCCTTTTCGAATCGAACAATGCACTCAGACCAAAATCCGAGACTTTCAGGTTGCCACCTGTTGCACCAAGACATAACTAAGTAAATAAAAATGTGCTTCTCTCACGACTCTTATCAAAATTTTAATACTACCTTCGTCAAGGAGGAGATTTTCAGGCTTGAGATCACGGTGATAGACATCACGGCTATGACAAAAATCGACTGCAGCGATTAATTGTTGAAAGTATTTTCTTGCAGCATCTTCTTTAAGTCTGCCTTTAGCAACCTTATTGAAAAGTTCACCACCTCTAACATATTCCATAGCAAAGTATATTTTTGTTTTGCTAGCCATAACCTCATAGAGCTGGACAATATTTGGGTGTTTGATTAGCCTCATGACGGAGATTTCACGTTTGGTTTGATCAATTAACCCAACCTTCATAATCTTCTCTTTGTCAATCACCTTAATAGCAACACTCTGCCCTGTTTTGAGATTTCTAGCATGGTATACTTTGGCAAATGTGCCCTGCCCAAGCAATTTCCCAATCTCATACCTTTGCATCAAAATATTGCCTTTCTTCTCATTCTTAGTAGTCATCATGATGAAGAAATTGGCAATACAATTGAGACAATTTTGTTAATATTGTTGAGGAATCATTGTCATTGTGGCTTAACAAAGGCTATCGTAATCTGTTTGGAACAGAGGCATAGTTGTTATTGTCGTTGTTGTACGGAGATTAAGGAGCCCTTTTTGTTTTGTTGAAAGATTTGGAATATTGATATGGAGGAGACAAATTGAAGGGGAGAAAAAAGGCCAAAAACCTTGCCTTATTTGTGGGCAGGGTTAGAGGAAATGCCTATAGGAGAAAGTACTCTCAATTAGTATGGAGAAAATTTATGGCAATAAATGCACTACATCTCATTGTGTTTGATGCATAGGGGAAATTTGGTGAAAGTTAGTTAAGATATGACCATATCCTAACATGCATTATTCAATTTTCACCTCTCATTTTCCATTTTTTTTTCTCCTCATGCCTCAACTACCTATCATAAATGAAATTTTAGAAAATTCTTAACCCTCCACGTCAATATATATTAATTTCATGTGATTTTATCACATTTTATAAAAAAGAAGAAGATACCTTTATTAGTTTCATCATTTTATACCTTAGTCTAGCTATAAGTCATAAGATGAAGTACTTTTTGGGTATTAAACGGATGAGATGAAATTTGTGTGTTATTGGTGTGTTTGAATGTGTTATTTATAGATATTTTAAGTTATTAATTGGAATTACTATAGACAATTACATGTTGTTATATGTTTAACTTTAATGTGATGGTGTGAAAAAAATTAAAACACGCGATTCTAAATTGATATATTGAATTCATGACGTCGTTACTATACTAGTCCTACATTTGCCCTAATATTTTAGCAAAAATCGATCGTTTTCTTATTGCTTTGTAATGTCAGGGGCGGAGCTAGGTGGGGTTCATGGGTTCGGACGAACCCAATAGCTTTTCTGTAGACTCGATATTTGTACTAGAAAATCAAGGAATAACTTGTGAACCCCTAAAAAAACTGAATGACAACTCAATGATAAGAAAGGGGAAGAAAAGTTAGAATCCTCAAACTCTTAATACTGACTCCGCCTCTGTAGTAATGTAAGTCTATGATTGTTTAGGAATCAGTATTGGACTCATCACATCTAAGTTAAGATATAAGTAGGTAGTTTTATGAAAATAGAAAAATAAAATTGTTTTAAAAGAGGAAAATATATATTAATTGTGAATCACATATATATTATGGCTGGTGGAACGGTATCTGCTAAGAAGTTAGTGGTGGACAGAAAATTGATAAAAGAGTTGATAATCCATTATCCACAGATGCATGCACCTATAGCTAAGATATGAAACGCAACAAAAACCATGAATTCTTCAAATTCAATTCCTATTTTCACGACATGTGCTTTTGCAAGTGTTTTTATGTGGGATAAGGGTCTAAAAACTACCTCAACTTTGGTCGGATTTGCTGTTGCGATACTAAACTTATGAGACCTATTACCTCCCTAGACTATTTAATACCATATTTTTACCCCTTAAACTATTTAATAGTGTCTTTTAAAGGTATATATGTGCCCACGTGGACACATTATTATTTATAATTTTGCATTATTTTTTATGTCCACGTGGGCAAATATATATGTTTAAAATACGATATTAAATAGTCTAGAGAGATAATAGGTCCTCATGAAAGTTTAGTATCGCAACAACAAATCCGACCAAAGTTGGGATATTTTTCAGACCTTTATCCCTTTTTATGTCTAGAGAAATAAGAGATGAACAAGGTGTTGTTATTAAATAATAGTATATAGTATATACTATATATTATGTATATGTGTATAAGATTGATACTTTGTTCATTCCCTCTCATTTTAGGTATTACTAAATCAATGATCATGTGCTTCAACGATAGTGCACATGATTAATTAAACGTTAATATTTCAAACCAAAGAAACCAAAAGACATATATAGACGATCTAATTTTTCAAAAATTCCAATACTTTATAACCACACAAAATTAGAAAGACATTTTATACGTGAGCATCATACTCAAAAATCTTCTTTACTTTGAACGAGAGACAAATACATTTTGTTTGCCCATCGAATATGTAAACAGGTCGGTTGGATCGAGTCACATCAATATTATTTCTAGACCAACACAATGTGTACATGCACATACATTGGTAGAAACTAATTGGAGGACAGGTATATTAAAGTGTCAACATCTGGTGAGCCAACCTTTACATGTGACTCATCAATAATAATGTTTAGCAATATGCATGATCATGCAGGTATTTATCGATACCATACAATTTTTAGATACATATTTTTTTTATATATATATATGTGGCTGAAGGAAAATGAAGTGGACTAGTGTCCTAGTGAATGATATATCTTTGTCACTATTAATGCTGATTAAGCATCTCACAACTCACTATGTTACGTTATGACCCAATTTATTTGATGCTGTTATCAATATATGGTCAACTAAATAATATACATGAACTATGATAACAGAAATTAAATGGAGTAATTGTATACGTGCAACATGCATGCATGTTCCTATATAATTAGTGTATAATCAGAACTTCAGCAAGAACAGAAAAACAGAACATCCCAACTTGCATGTGCCTAGTTATGTCAAATGGAAGGATTTGATTGAATTTGAACCGATTAAAATGAGTTAACCTTCTTCTATTATATTTTCCATGTGTCCGCTATGGAACATCCTGATTAGGAGTGACAGACGAGTGGCGAGTGAGTCGAATCAAATATGAGTCGATCGAAAACGAGTTAAACTAAAATGGATAAAATACTCAACTCGACTCATATTTTAAATGGATAAAAACGAGTTACCCAATAAATAATATGGGTATATATATATTATAGTAGGAATCATGATAGAGCTTCTAAAGCAAAATCTTTTACCCCACTGCCCC